TGTAATTTCCCCTCTGTGGGACTAATAAAGGCATATCTTATCTTATCTTATCTTATTAACTAAGAAAACAGATGTGTAGATAATGACATTTGAAAGAAACACAGCAGCACTGCCAACCGTGGATGGACCTGCAAGCTGTCTGACCCAGAAAAACCCCTCGAATCAGACAGCAGTCACAGGCATGAGCATTCATTGTCATCATTGATTCTGTGGTTGTTTTGTTGTGTATAGAAACTTATTTAGCACCTAAATATTGTTTATTATACAACTTTTGTTAAACAAGTGCAACATTTATAGGAATTTGTTAAATGCATAAATGTAGAGTAGCAGAAGTGGCAAAGAGTCAGCAAACTGTTAACATTAGCCACCATTAGCTATACTGGTCATACCAGAGCGAGTAAGGCCGTAGCAGCAAACCCCCCATTAAACTAGGTTATGGTTTAGTTGTTTAAAAAAAGAAGAAGGATGCATCGCTTTTGCCTTGCTTTAAGATAAAGGTTTGCAAGGGAAGTGATACAAAAAGTCAAGTGAGTCATCGCTGTTCTCAGAAACGAGATGAATGTGCTTGTTTGTTTGTCACTGAAAGGCTGACGAAGCTCTGTTCTGAAAATTGGAGGCTTTAGGCTGATCCACAAAAAATGGTTCAATGTGTAACATTTAAGAAGCTCTATTGGCAGAAATGGAATATAATTTTCATAGGTATGTTTTTATTAGTGTATAATCAACTAAATATTGGAATTATTGTGTTTTTGTTTTCTTGAATGAGCTGTTTCTATCTACAGAAAGAGCAGGTCCTCTTCTACAGAGTCCAAACACTGGCTCAAGATAGGGCCTTTCACTTTGATCATCACCATTGTTTCTCTTTCACACTTGGAAGAGGAGGGTGAAGCGACAGAGTTGCAATCTACAATTACACCGGCAGATGCCACTGAATCCTACTCACTGGACATTTAAGATATTCTCAGCGGTCACACTCATGTTGAAGAATTTCTATTCTTACCGTCCGCCCACTGGGTAAGCATCAAAAAAGAAAAAGAAACATGTACCTGAATGTACCGCAGTGAAAGACCATCATGCTCAGTCAGTTTACTTTGTGTTCTCTAATGCTTCAAATGTGGGATGTCCTGGATCACATATAATATCCCATAACTGCTGATTCAGAGGCTCACTGTCTCTGTGTTCCAGATGTTTCGAACAGCAGTGGCTGAACGAGGCAGCCGCATAATTACCGGACCCCAGGGTCCCATCTCACAATGCAGGATTACTAAGTTATCTGAAATCTGAAGCATGCTGAAGGAGAACTATTCAGGCTTTTGCTTGCTGCAATTATCCAGCTAAATAAATTGTCTGCTCTCAGTGTTCACAGTTGATAATGCCTTTCATTTTCTATTTTTTTTTTTTTACATAAAAAAATATTTCAAAAGTATTTCAGTCAGTGTCTAAACTCAACAAAGTGCTTACTGAAGCTTATGGAACAGCAAAAGTGTACTGTACATCACCTACCATCATAACACCAAGTGATGGGATCAGTGGTCTGACATGGTGACTTGGGCAGATTCAATCCAGATTTGTAGGAGAAAGAGCAAAACATCAGAAAACCACCAACATAATACTGCATAATATTGTTCCAATATATTGTACATGTAAATAAATCAGTTTAGCCACATACTTATTGTTAATGATTGTAACCCAGTGGCTGATATTGACACCAAGCCCTTTAATTTTACAATCCATTGAAAGGTTTTGTTTGTATGGCTGCTTTAACTGCTACAGTCAGGCATTCAAATGTCAACTGTGTAACATGTAGGAGGATCTATTGGCAGAAATGGAATATAATATTCATGTTAGTGTATAATCACCTGAAAATAAGAACTGAGAAATAGAATGAGCTATTTTTATCTACAGAGGGAGCGGGTCTATGGAGGCCACCATGTTAATTTACTCTAGATAGGGCCCTTTCACGTTTTTCGTGAGTTTCATGGCCATCATAGTTTCTCCTACATCAGTGGTTCCCAATCTGGGGGTTGCGACCCCCGACTAGGCCTTCTTAATTTTACTTAATGATAGAAAAGGGTTCCCTTAAACAAAAAGGTTGAGAACACTGTCCTACACTTTTGGAAGGTGAGCAGTTATTTAACTGATTGCATCTGCAATTTCTCTGCTAGATGCCACTAAATCCTACACACTGGTCCTTTAAATAGAAGAAAAGAGTTCTTCAGTGAATCCTAAAACCCCCACCCAGGGTTTTTAGGCAAAAGGAGTGCTGTCAGACTGTGCTTCATTATTAAGTTTTGAAAATAAAACTGAACAATAAAATTTCCATTCATCACATTTATTTAAAGCCAAATAATTTAACTGAAAATTAAATATGTGGCTATATTAATGTTGATATACCCTTATACGCCATACATGGTGTTCACACAAAGTAACTAAATACAAAGATTAGTAACGTTACACTTTGTTTACTTAAGCCACTAACCTATGCTCTTATATGTAAGGCCATAACCGCATCCTGTCAACCTGTCACCTGATCTAAGACACTCATCTCGCACACGAGAAAAACATGTATTTGTGCAAGACAGATACGCATACCGAGAGCTCTCAATTTTTTAAACATCATAGCTTGTATGGAAAACACTAATCAGACAAAGTTTGAAACCATCTACTTTAGATCAAAACATTTTTTTTTATGCGACACCTACCTACACCTCGTAAGAGTCACAGTTTCCGCTCTTACCTCCTTTACTGAAAACAGCTTCTGACAAATTCTGTAAGTCAAAAAAAGTGAGTGATGCAGCCACATTTCAAGAACCGTTTTATTACTTTAACCTCGATCAACAGCACCTGTGTGTGTGGATTACCAACCCTGATACTGAGGCCTTTAAGAGGTTATGTTAAAATGGATTGTAAGTACATGAGGCTTCAAAATAAACACGCACCACAGCACCTATTGGCTGTGTAAAATGGCAGATTGTTATCTCCATAAGTGCCATGGTGTAATTTTGTAGGTTAAGGTTCTTCTGTACCTTATCATTTGGTGTTTCCTGTTACAAGTTATAACAGGTATGGAAACTGCTGCAGTTGCACAATCTGTTTTCTTGATAAAAATGGGACATTTTAGTTTTAAAAAGCGTCATTAAGTGCGACGCTGTGGTGGAGATGTTCTCGGCTTCTTGCAGTAAACGCACATTGTTTTTCTTGTAACTGGGGTCTCAATTTCCGTTTGTGTGCTACACCACTCACCTCAAAGCACAGTTTCAATTCCTCGCTGGACTTCTCATGAGTTGTTCTGAGTGGTCCCCCTATACACACACAAACTCCAAACTCGTACTACTTTACCCTGACACTTAACCCACATAGAAACATAAACACACATTTTACACTTCAAGCGCCTAGGCCCGATCAATGTGGCTCGGTGGAGGAAAAAAAAAGTCACAGCCTGTGACCACAGCGCACAGCCTTTTGCATGCTGTTATGAGATGAGAAGTTGTCTGTATGACATTTTAATGTTGACTCACACAGTGGGACTCTGGGCCCTGAGTTTGGATGCAACTTGCCTTGACTTATATTGTTTGAACTGTTCCTTGATTTACTGTGTTTGAAGGTGCAGTGTTTGCATTAGTGAACACACGCACTAGGCTCGACTTGGCACTGGTAGTAAACTATCACACTGTTTTTCAGGTTGTCTCTTCTTGTGTGGATTAACAACGCCTGGGACTTACTGACAATAACAACTTTTTCATTTAACCTAAAAAACATTTTGCTGAACTCTCATGCTGTGCCAGTCATAATAGAATTGGCTTCGAAAAAAAACCCCACAGTGACTGATTTGATGTGGGATGTGTGGTGGCTGGAGATGTGTGAACATTTTAACCGCAGACATATGTAAATAATTGTGAAAACAGAAGTTTTACCTGAATGTGTGGTTTGTTGCCAAGACCCAGGTTTCTTACTTACTCAGGTCATCACCATCCACATCATTCTCATGTTACTATGCTGCTAATCAATCACCAAAATCGGAGCTTGGAGATCAAATTTGAGTGATTGAATGGGAATTAAAAGTTGGAGTAGACTCAGAATTAGAAGACTTCATGGTTTACAAAAAATAGTGAATATTTCTATGTAAATATTACGAAAGAAAATGCTTTCCTAATGTATGATTAACCGTTTTTTTTCTTTCTTATTTATTTGTTCAATATAAAATTAAAATGTGAACTAATAAGATTATATCCTTTCAGTTTTGTTTCTTGCATTGTGTCTCTTTGTGGCTTGGTGGTGTTGCCACAAAACCACTGGATAGTTAATTAGTGAGCATCCTGGTATTCTGAATCATCCTCAAGAACAAGCCATTAATAATTCCAAACATGGCTTCTAATCCCACATATGAATCGTTTTATTTATGTAGACAGCAAATTACAGCTATTATTGTTACATTACACAGTATACACATTTTATAGGTTTCAAAGTAACTCTTTAGTAATACAGCAAATAAACCATCTGCAAAAACAAGGAATGGCTGAAATTAAAGACATATTTACATAACTGTGTGTCACTGACATACAGTAAACTGTACACACACACAGACACACACATGGTCTAAAGAGATATCAGAGCATGTCGGAGAACATACCGAGTTGCTACATTGCTTTAGATGCATCACTTGCACCTCAGTGGTGCAGAGACAGGAGTTTCAGGTTGGTTGCTGGCAGGCCGACATCCTTAGCGTCTGAGTGTTCCTCGCATGTCCTCATAAACATCATTCGTGGTGGCGCGTCTTGGTTTCACTGTGTTGCGCAAAGTCTTGGTCTGGTAACAACAGATAGCGTTGTCAACATGTTAGATGTTGGGCTTTTATACAATGAGTAACAGGATTATTATTCACTTCTCAAACTTCTCATAGTTTCATATCTGAAATATGACAACCTGTATAGAAAGTGTCACACTGATTATTCCATCTGAACCACTATTTGTTCAGTCCACCTTGAAATGCTGTTTATATATAATATGAAGTTTGAATATATGTGATAAAACTTAAATATATGGAATTAACTCTCATGTGATCAAAGCACTGCGGCATCTTGTGTTTCCAATACGACCTAATATTATTCCATAAGGATCTTACTGCAAGAAGTGTTGGACTACTAAATCTGTAAGAGGCGGTCCTAACTAATAAAGAGATAAATAACACCCTGGCAAATGAGGGCCAATATTCACGCTGTTAATGTACTGTATTTTCAAACACAATGCATAGGAAGCAACTCAAGGTTTAATGTGGTTAAAGCAGGAAAGTCAGTCTGCTTTGATCTATGAATAAATGTGAGTGATTTTACAGTAACTGCTGTCCACAAGGGTTTTATACATATATGAAAAGCTTTTCCTTCAGTTCATGAAGTCCCTGCAGCACCTGAAGGCATGGACTGTTATATTATGTTGTAAATAATGCACCAGAGTGCAATGTCTTTATGCACAACCGTTTACCTTCATTGCATCGCCTGAAAACGACAGCAGACTGTTCCAATATAAAAATACAGACCTCTACACATATCAGACTGGTCGGTTGTAACTTTATTATCATCGTTGGTTATAGTTATATAATCAGATTCACCAAATCAGTGTCTTTATTTTAATACAGTGTTTGATAGTCACCACACCTATGATCTATATTCACCTTCCCCCAGCCCTTTTTCATACCTGGACCAAAATAAAAACACCCACACAGACTGACTATAAGACCTACTACCACCTTGTGCTTTGCATTTATTATTCAAAGGGCTTGAATGGGCATGACTCGGCTATCTTGAAGCAACATCTGGCATAATAATATTACACATCTAGATCATAGGATAGCATCTGTGCCTTGATGACGTCTGATTTCATTCCATATATTCAAGTTTCATTCCATATACTTGTACACACACGTATGCACAAAAACAGAACAACAGAATTCACATTCACATTTATTCATTTTGCTCTTGTGCAGCAACCATTAGGTTTTGTGCACACTGTTCACACCTAATAAAAAGTGTGAACAGAGATAACTGACTGCAAACATCAGCTTTCCAAATGAAAGAATAAAATGATTTTACTGTGTGTGTGTGTGTGTGTGTGTTTGTCAGATGAGTAGGGTTGAGCATAACAAGAACATTGAAACAGCCCCCGAGGTTCCATCAGGGCTCGTGAGTCATAGCAAAAATACAACCAAATGAAGAGACACACACAAACACATGAGTACCTTGAGGGTGATCCATATGAAGAAACCGATGACGATGCCAAGCAGCACAGCAGCAGAGATCACGACAGACACCACGACCAGATTCTTATCTGACGATGTGTCACACTGCTTCGGTGCTGGTTCTGTTCCTAAAGTACAGTGAGACTTTTGTTATGTCTGTGACACTGGACTTTTTTTTGGGGATATTTCTTAAGAACAATTTTGGAGAAACTGCAAATGCTCCAGTCAAAATTATATTAAAACAAAGTTTACAGTTTCTGAACCAGTCTTCTGTTTCAAATGGAGCCGAAAGGTGCAAAATGAACTCAAAGTGAAACTCCTTTTATTTAAATTAGGTAGTCATGGCAGTGAAGTCAAAAAGATAAAGTGAGTAGAAAGCATAGATATTATTTCTATCAGATAAGTCAATGTAAGTTCAGTCTTACACTTTGCTGTAGTATGTGAAATCCCTGGCTCTACTCCATCGACTGAATACAAATAGTCTGTTAAGTCTGTTACTATGTTTCACTGTGTGGTTGAACGTGTATATGCTTGTTGGATGAATCATTGTTAGAAAAAAATGTTGTCCAGGAATGATGAAGAAATTAAAGCATAAGAAGTAAATATTTTATGGGATAATACATGAATTGATAAGGCTTACCTGACACCACCAGGAGCACCACCAGGAGCACAGACCCGGTCCCTTTCTTGTGTATGACTGAAGCAGTCTTCTGATCAAACTTTGAGTAACAGCACCAGTAGGGTCCCGTGTCGTCAGAGGTCAAGTTTTTGATGAGAATGGTGGGAATTTGTTGTGACTGTACTTGTTGTTACATGGTATTTTTGTCTGAGACACTGTCTTTGTTGAAAACATCGATGTCCTCGCTGAGACCTTTCTTCAGTGTCAGTGAGTCTTGTTCTGGCTCAGGAGGTCTGCACTGGATAGTGACGGATCCTCCAAAATCTTTCCATACCACTCCACTGTCTACATACATACAATTGGCACAGTTATTCACTTTACATTTGATAAAGCTTCATGAGTTCATCCTGCCTTACATTAATTACTACACAAAACATTAGTATTCATTCTTGGGAATTATAATCAGTCTTACCTGGTCCAGTCAGGGCTGTGTAGGAGAGACAAAGGATGGTTATGAGCTTTAACCAGACAGCGAACATGATGACAGACACACAAGGTTCACTTGACTTCTAACTCCTCAGTAGGAAATGTGATGTGTTTTTAACCACATCACCTAACACATTTACAAAAGCATCACGTGACCTACATCAGTTTGTCTAATGTGGGCGAGAAGCACCAGCTGAGATACAGTGCAAAGTAAGAACTTTTTTTCTGAGGTTGAACCGCTTGGGAGGAACACTAGTCTGCATTTATCCTAAAGCGCTTGCACTAGTGCAACTGCAATGTTAGCATAGAGTGAAAGGTCTCTGGTGCAGCAACAGTGTCAAACAAACATGAGGATAACCATAGTGCTTGAAAACCACTGGAGGAAGAAGTATTAAGATCTTATATTCTACTACAAGTAAATGTACAGAAGTATCATCAGCAAAATCTATGTAAAGTATAAAAAAAGTGTTGTTTTTCGGAGACTAAAAGTAGCACGGTCATCCTAGACTTGATAAAGCTTTATGATTTCATCCTTCTCTACATTTAATTACTACAAAAATGTGAGATTTGCAGCTCTAATCTGAACTTGTCACTACAATAATAATGTTGGATGTCTCAAAATCTCAGAAATCATAGAACACATTCACACAATACTGAAAGTAAAGTTGAACACTACACTGTTCTTCCTTAGACCTCTCTGAAGCATCACATACAAGAAAAGACTTCTGCATTGGTTGATATGTTTTTTTTCTACTGAGATAAGGCGTCAAAACACATCCACACTGAAAGTAGGTCAAAAGTGTAGTTTTAGCGCTGGGTTGTAGACCGCTTTACAACGTTTGTATTGCCCTCTAGTGGGCTAGTCTCAGTAGGTATCTGTCGATTTGTTTCAAGTCTGTTTACACAGAAGAGTCTTGCATTCATTCATCCATTGTGCTGCAGCCTGCAGTGAAGAACAAGAGTGCAGAGGATGCCCTCTCCACAGCGCCACACTCCAAGAATGCTGTTTATTTATATAAACCACCATCCTCTTTAATCTGATCACCAAACTCATTGACCTGGGCATCAACACCTCCCACTGCAGCTGGATACTGGACTTTCTCACCAACCGACCCCAGTCTCTTAGGTTAGACAACCACACCTTCTCAGCCCTTTACCCTAACACTGGAGTCCCACAGGGCCGTGTGCTGAGCCCTCTCCTCTGCTCCCTCTTCACCTACGACTGCATGCCTGTTCATGGTTCCAATACCATTATCAAGTTGGCAGACGACACAGGAGTGGTTGGCCTGAGTCAGCGTACAAAAAGGAAGGCCCAGAACTTGTGCCAATAACAACCTGGCTCTTAACACCAAGAAGACCAAAGAGATCATTGTGGACTTCAGAAAGACCAAAGGTAGGACAAACACCCTCTGTATCAACAGGACTCTGGGAGCCGCTACAGGACTCTCTGTTCTAGGACCAGCAGGCTCAGGAACAGCTTTCTCCTTTCAGCTGTCACATAGACTTAACTGCACTATTCATGCTCTCACATACCAATTCATATTCATGCCACTGTCCATTTATATCTGCCCTATAGTATATATTAATTTTACTACAGTCTATACCGTACATATCTGTGCCTCACATATGCCCAAACGAACCACACCCAGAGGGTAGACGCTCCCTGTTTCGAAACAACTGCTCTAACAACTTGCACTATGAGGAAGGCTAAATCAAATTATTATCAGTCAGCTCCATTAAATTGGGACTAGATACACTTCTTTAGAAATATACTCTATCAAATTATCATAAAATAAAATATTCTTACCAATAAACTTGATCTTTTACAACAATGAAATATATGTAATTTAACCACAGTCTTTCAACACACCCGATTTATCAGACAATTATTTATCTATGCTTTAAATTTACATGTCTTTATCTATATTATATTACTTATTTTATGACTATAACTACATAAAAAAGAAAGAAAAAGAATCAGCCACAGGACATTCATAACCATATTTATTGTATTTAGAAATACACACATCAAATGTTTGTTAATATTTCATTTTTTTTCCAGGGAAGAATAAGGGAAAAGCTAAATGTCACTGCGCGATGCACTACAGGATCAAAAAAAGGAAGTAGTAGTGAAGTAGGTGAAGGAGGGAAGAAGGTGACAGGTTGATGAGGAGGAAGAGAGTGGTGGGGGTATTTATCTATAAAAAGCCTTTTCTTTTCTTTGGCCACCTCCCAATGGGTCAGAGGGTTGTGGCATCTCATCCTGCTGCTCCACATCGTCAAGGCACTCTAGAGAGGCAACAAAAAGACCACACATTAATCCGAAGCATTTAACAGTAGCTGGTATTTGATGAATACAATCACAGACCGTTTTTGGATGACAGAATGTGTGATTTGAGCCACACAGCTTACAAAATATTGAAGAAATCATGTCCTTGTTTACTTGTTTCAAAGAAATATGTGAAGACACAGATCACCAGTTACACGGTGTTAATAAACTGCCTGAAGTCCTCAATATTTTTTGCTGAACATATTGACATTAATACACATATATAACACATTTTAAAGTTCACACAGCAAACAAGTGAGCTTTGATTTCTAAATGTTCATAATCTGAGGAGGCAGCCACTCTCTTACAAACATGCACCTGGAGGTTAATAAAAAGCTTTTCATACTAAGTGAAACCTGCCATCAGAGAACAGCTGCTTGACTACAGACCATCATACCATCATGACAGGGAAAAAACACATCAAAGAGACCATGTGATGCTGACTTAGAGAGGAGATTGTGTACTGTATCTTAAAAGAAAAAAAAGCTACGGTATGTCTGCAGCATATGGGACAAGACTGGGAACCAGAATCAGGTTTTTGTTAGAGGCAAGGAGAGTGGAATTACCTGATCTGTTATAGTGTACAGAGATATTCAGTGAATAATCTAAGTAATGCACTGTTGTTTAGACATGGTGAGAGTGTGACAGTGACTTAAAAGCTTCTTTATAAACACATCAAGAGTTCAGGCTACTTACCATCATTTGCTTGTTCTGGGTCCTTTTTAACCTACAATGAAAACATAATACAAGGATATGAGATATCATCACTGAACCAAAGCGACTATTTAATCTGTATATAAAGAAGTCTCCCTGTATTCCTATATGTGAATCCTATTACTTCTACTTTGTGGAAATACAGTGACCTGAGCAGAGAGAGTCTAGGCTTCGTCTGTGAGAAGAAGTCTTGTTATTTATATCACAAAGATGTATTATTTGTGCCCAGGGTAAATGAAAAGTTTGAAACTGACTGCAGCTCCACAAAGAATTCTACCATGTTTGTCAAACGAGTACATTTTGAGCATAACAGGAACATGGAAACAGCCTTTGAGATTCCATTAGGGCTTGTTAATCACAGCAAAATACAATCAAATAAAGAAAAACACACACAAACAGACACACATGGGTACCTTGAGGGTGATCCATATGAGGACGCCGATGATGATGCCAACCAGCACAACAGCGATCACAACAAACACCGGGGTCAGATTTTGATGTGGTGGGTCACACTGCTCCACCGTATCTGTTGGTAATGTATATTTATGTTTATCTGAGACTCAAGCTGTAAAGGTTTTCATTTTTGACCAGACATGTCAGGAGAGAGGCAT